GCGTACTCGAGTTTGGAGACTACCACTTCCCTGTGGCGGTAGTGTAACGTCAACCTCAACGGTCTACGCAACAACACGTATTCTTGGGCTGAGCATGATGTATGTTTCTACACAACTATTTAGTCAGAAGTTACACTGCATCGGGCGCAGAATTTTAAGTTGTGGATTTATCCAGTTTCCATGCCCGAAACTATCTTGATCCCATATGCCTACAGTACTCTCCCGTGGCCTTACAGACCATGAAACGCTGAATGGCAGCTCACGGATGATCCAATGGAATAAGAAATGAGGCCAGAAAGTATTCGCCCTTGTAAGATATATCCCGTCGTACATGACCCTATTCATGTCGTGACCGGAGTCTAACAACGAAGGCTGCCTAGTGTCACCATCATGAAGAACTAGAAAAACAAACAAACTGAGGCCTTGGCTCTTTCCTGCCCGGATCCCAACGTTGGGGGCCATGGTATGTGAGCAAGTCCGAAAGTTTCAACGAAAGGGGGAGACGTGATAATTCAACCTCCTTACCTGCCTTCTACACATTCCCACCACCGTGTTTGAAAGACCACCCTAAATTTGCCGTTCCTTCGGTGAAGAATTCCGCAAGATAAATGCTTGTCGTTCCGTAGCCTTGGGTATTTACCCGTTATGTGAAAAACCGTCCCGACAGCCACTTGAAACACCGGTTGTTGACCTCGATGCCTTTGCTGGGTCCGGTCACCGTAACTAAACTTGGTGAAGTGACTAGCTCTAGGGTGATAATTAGCCATAGAATCCGAGCATACCCCCTAGTTCCGAGAGAGGTTCCGTTATCAGAAAGGCAGTGGTGCCTATCATATGAGTCGGTTACTCGTGGTGGTTAAGGTCAACTACACCTTAGACATTCGGAGGTAATTAACATTCTATCCAGGTGGCCTGGTAGTAGTGATTAACTGGGCTTTCGCCTCAAACAGCCTGAAGAAATCGCAGAGCTCGAACCCATAATAACATATGTTGTCTAAGAAGTGACTGAGGGACACACAGCCTCAACTTCAATCAAGCCCAAATGTGTTGCGAACCGCCACGCGAACTTACTCGCCCGAGAACAATGTAATATATCGAATGGCGCACACGCGGCGTGGGATTTCAACCATGCAGAGGACGTGGCCCATTACAAGGAAGGATAGGTGCTATGGGCCAGCCTGGCGAACGCGCTCGGCGGGATGATCGTGGTTGTTGGCGGATACCTAAACAAGCATGATGTATCATTGGGTACCACCCCCAGACGATTCAATTGATGCTTGAGCATGAAGGGCTAGATCAAATGCCTAGCTTGTCGGGTTCCAACGGCGGCGTGCAATGGTAGCAGGGTTGCTCGGCAAGGCCGAGATTAGCATGATGTGTGAACATCATCTTGACGGGCTGACGGGCATCACAGATCACTCGCAAAAGGACACAATGTGTAGATCAGAGAACCGTCCTCTGGTATTTCAGCCCTAGAGGGCAATATGCGAGTACAGAGAAGCCTATCTTGAATGACTACTATGTATGACCAGGCTTGAATGATGCCGCCTTGTTGACTCCTCAATGAATGACGATATGTAAAGCCAGACGCATCCACAATCATGAGTTTCGTATCCTCTTCCCTACGGAATGTGCTTGAGCAGGGGAAGTTGCTGGTCCGCCATGCGCCAAAAGAGGTGGACGCTCAGAGTAACAAGCCAGTATCCGTGGCTCTACTCGTCCATCGCCATCCGAAACCTCCCGCTCATGACCTCGGCTGCTCTAAGAGAGAGCGGGCGCTTCGCCGCGCTTACGTGCCAGGGTTGGGGTTCATCTGTCACCCACGTGTTAGCTTGGTGACCAGAGATATCTGCCGAACCTAGACATCATCTACGAACCTTTCTCTTGCCACCGGTCAAAGTGACGTTGACGAATCGGCGGGTGTATACGAGTCTCTTCTTCGCGCGGCCCTTGGGGGTCTTGGACTTCTCTTGCTTCTCGACCTGTGACGTGCCGTATTAGCCTCCAATTTGGTTCTAGTGTCGTGCCAGTCCTCCGGCTTCGTGTGGGACAAATGATGGAGAAAGCGCGGTTTCGTAGTCGTGGTCGTCGTGGTCGTCGTAATCAGTGATGGTGTCGCAGACAAGGGCATCGAGTATATATCGGGAATTCCTCGCCTGTCCTCATCACCATGTAGTTCTTATTCGTCGGTTGCATCTCGAGTATCGCGCTTCCTCCATCGTCGGGAAAATCATGGGTCTTGTCGGGTAGAGGCGATGGAAAATGCGAATCAACGAACCTTAGGCGTCTGAGACTTGACCTTTCCTGTAATGCGAATCCCATCAGTTATCGTGCGCCCCTCAGAGATCCCATCAAACAGAGCAACATACCGGCACGAGCCAAACTTCCGTGAACCTTTCCCATCTTGGATTATTTTGCTGCTACGAGACTTTGCTGTTCGTTGGCGGTGGTGTAGGTGTTGTATGGGCGCTGTCGGCTGAATGAAATCTTTGACTCCCGGCTGGTTTGGATAGAAGTGGGTAAGAGTCAGAGTGCACAGGAGCGAGGGGCGAATCTGAAAAGCCCTAGTCACGTGGGGTCTGCCTAACAGCATAAATGCTTGGTCGGTGCATAGTGGCCCCGTGCAGTCGGGGTAATCCTCGGCGGTGGGAACAGCGATAAGATCTTACATAATGAGCAGGCCCGCCAAGCCCGGCAGCTACGCTGGATGTACTTGACGCAAAGGCAGGACTGGCAGGAGTACCTTGCATGATGCATCCAACCTTGGAACTTACCTCGGGCTACACGTAGCGGAGGTATCTACATACCTACTTCGTACCTACGACTTCGATGAGCCAAACCATTCAGGTTTTCAACTACGAAACGGGAACCAGAAACAATCCAACCAAACCAATCCTGTAGGTATCACGGTATATGATGGCACCTATGTTGGTAATAGGTACTTATCTGATCTCCCAACCTTCAAATCGCACAGCACATGCAAGCACAGTTGTATCATGAGGCCCGCTAGGCCGGTTTAGGACTACTGCAGATCGTCGCCTGATCGCGTGGCGCCCATCCCGGGATATCAAACGGTACCGGGGTCGGAGCCAGCTGATGCTGCTTCTTCTTAACATTCGACTATGGCCGAGCTGTGCTCAAGGCTCACGATTCCAATAACCTTTGCTTTGGTCTAGTTAGTTGCCCGTCTGAAACGCGTCTTTTCTTGCTCAGAACGCCTCCTCCTGTACCCTACGATCATCAAGGACTGGAGAATCCACAATGAGGTTCCTTCGCCACCTCCCCGTCTTCTCGCTCGCCGCCGCCGTCTCCGCCACTGGTCTGGCTGAGCAGCAGCAGCAGCAGGCTTTAGCAGCAGAGCCACTGCAGGAGGAGCAGCAGTACATGTTTAGTAACCCGCCAGTCTCCGATTCTTCGAGGTACAACCGGATCCCGACCTCGTACGAGTCCGCCGTGCTCGGGCGCCGCATCCTAGCTCTGACGCCGCTCGGGACGCTCTCCACCGTGTTTCCGGGCAGTGGTAGCGGCTTTGTAGGCGAGGAGAACCGCCCGGACGGGCTGGGGGGCGTGCCAATTGGCATGATGGACTACGTCGCGGACTGCGAGGCCGATGGCAACCCGACCATCCTGGCGATCGGCATCGCAACGTCCTTCAAGAACGTGCGCGAGGGGTCCAACATCAGCCTGGCGCAACAGTGGACGCCGCGGTACCCGCCCGACAAGCGCATCAAGTCAACTTCGACTCCTCTGACGAAAACGCTGAAGCTGATCGACTGGCTCTTGGGGACCGAGGACGACCAAGCGGAAGAGGAGGACGACCCCGTGCCGTACTCGGCCGCAAACTTGCCCCGGTATTCGCTCATCGGCTACCTCGAAAAGATCGAGCCTGCGTCTGTCGCTGACACCGAGGAGCTGTCGGCGTGCTTCGTCGGCGCCCATCCCGATGCCAAGTACTGGCTTCCCGGCAACCGGATCCACCAGTCCGAGTTCGTCCGCCTCGTCGTCACGCAAATCTACTGGGTCGGCGGGTTCGGCGACCGCGCCTACATCGGCTGGATTGACCCGGCCGATTGGAACAATGTCACCCGCGAGGAATGGGGGGCCGTGAGGCTGCCCGGAGAGAAGAAAGGTTGGAAGGAGTGGAGTGTCGTGCCGAGCTTCTCGGATTTGTGAAGATGAGATGAATATACCTATGTAGATAATTTAGCCAAGCCACGATGGCGGGCGGCCCTTATGGGTGGTTTTGGGTTCGTGTGGGCATAGCGGGCACACACGATCTACCACTGTAGCAAAGGAGGCGTGTACAATAGATACAGGGGACAAGCAGATTGATTCAGGCAATGCATATTTTATGGTTGAGCAATCAACTACCGCCATACAAATACTCCACGAAGCTCTTACTTGAAACGAACGTCTTCTCTAGACACATAGGGAATACTTCCACTGATAAGGGCGACATATGACCATGTTAGTTGCTGTCTTCAAGGCAAGCTACTTTCAATGGAACTTGGTTCAATGCCTACACAGTCACTGGTCGACAGGTTCACCGTGGTTCGAAGTGGTGGGTCCTATCCGATGCGTATATCTGATGCATACATCATGCAGAAGCTCCCGACATCCATATCAAAGGTTCCTTATCTTCCCATTAAGTAGACCTGAGTAGTTGTTCAACTACTGGCTATGAATACCCGTATAGCTAGGTAGAGATGTGGTGGCGAGGTACTCGTTTGGATAGCTTGGGGTAGCTGAAATACAACAGACCTTTGCTTTTGCTCTGGTTGGGATGTGACGAGCCGGGAACATTGGGTAACCACTCAGGCCGCTTTATTCGTCTATTCGTTTGCGCACTGACATCATTGTCCGATACTTGCCAAGGTACCTGGATTTTGGAAACCAAGGCGCGGTACCTAAGACCTAAGGAATGTATGTAAGGTTACCGGTTGTTGGTGGTCCTACCACATCCTACCTTAAAACGCAGGATACGCGGGAAATTCTAACAAGTTCACGTAGAGAAATGGGTAAGTTGCATCCTTTCCTTTCCTTCAGAAAATACGCTAACCAAAGTTCCAGTAACTCGTTGACCTCCTAAGTCAGAGATTGCGGGTTCGAGTCCCGTCGTGAACTATTCTTATTTTTTTGCTGCTTCCTCCTTGGGAGCTTTCTACTCTTCCGTTTCCTTTTGCCTTCTTAGATAAGAAATCACCTACAAGATATCGAACCTAGTTCACATCGATCTTGTATGCAACAACGCATTATTCACTTACGTTAAGATACGCTTTGATCAAATACATGGATGATCACTAATAGGTTGTTTGTTCAACTCCAAAGCCTTCACATATGCAATGATAATAACGATTAATGCCGATCAACTTATTGGATTATTGGTGACCACGAACGTACCAAGAACATATGATGCCTACGACATTCCTAGGTAGCTTTGGGCAGATGGTACTCTACTTGGTTCTACACATGACGCCTACCATCTTGAGAACGTCTAGATGCATTTGGAGATAACAATCAATAGATAACTAGTACTTTCGTGGCTACCTATATAGCATCAGAGAGAGTATGCGAATACTTATGTCTTCCATCCGAGAACATGTTACTAACTTACCATGTGGACAAACAAGGTGATATCCATGCAGCCTGCCTAAGAAAGGGGGGAGATGGGAGGGGTGGGGGGGGGGGGGGTAAAGTCATAAACTTTAAGGCTAAATCTACTTTCTAGGAAATCCATCCACATGAACAATAGTTAGCCTCTGCTCTAGATTATAGCAGAGCTGTCATTGCCGTGAAGCTGTAAATGTGCCTAAGTTAACATCCGATCCTCGAGTGGCATAGCTTCAACGAATGCCAAAGCCCTTCGGCTGTTGGCTGCCAGAGGGTCATACTGGATCGTGATGGAATTAGAGAAAGCAAGTCCTTACCAGCCCTTTCATGTGAGTGCTTTATAGAACGCTAGTAAAACCCTTATACGAATTTATCTTTTACACTCTGGTAATGTTACTACCTCCCCCCCCATTCTTTACATACTCTGGGGTGGTGAAACAGTAGGCTATTGCTTAACTTCGTGCAACAATCTAGGCAACCCTTCAAGGATTGACTTGAGTAAAACCATATTAACTGCTGAAATGTACCCCTTTATGATTTATCCTGCTTCAGGCCATGGCCATCACCGTCGCTCTGTAGTATCGCCGCTCATAACTACAAAAACAACTATAGCCTACCTTTGCAATGCAATGAAGTTCGAATTTGCGATCGAAATCCTTAGTAAGACTGGAGTGGACTGAATGAGGAGCTCTTCATTTACCTACAGTACTTTGTATTATTTCTGCCCAAACGCCATCAATATCTTCAACTCCCCGTATGCTATAATGATGCGTAGACCCTGAACGGAAGTAGTCCGGCCGCGGGGCAATGCCTAATATTTCAGGATTCCTTCCCTGTTATTCCCTGTGCTGGCGACATGTATAATTCGGTTGCTAAGGTTCTAACCGATTGCCTAGGTAGGTAGTATATTGTACTTGGGCTATACTGCCCCTAGCTACCTGTACATATAGCTCCACCATGATGACAACCGACGTGATTACAACTGCATAGTGTATAATACGCCTGATACTATCGTCCACTAGGCCGCCTCCTCGACCCACATGTCGTAACTAGGTAGTTCTAGTCTGCACGGAGGGGAGTTGGGGGTCACCTTTCGTCTGGTCTGGGGGTCAGGACCGAAAAGCGGAGTATTCGTGCCTACGAGGATCGGAGGGAGCAATAATGTTATCCCAGCGGGCTTCATGTTTGGATAGAAATATATGCTATATTGTGTATAAATAAACACGTGTCTAAAGTTAGGCTATTCTCCAGGTTGGAGGATATTACTAGGATAGCATATTGAGATTTGCCGCAACGACGATGTCCTCTCCTGACCAAATCGATGTCTGTCTGTACGGGCTTGGGGCGTAAGTTGCATCTACTATGGCAAGCTGCTGCTGCTGGACCGGAGCTGACGTTGACATAGCATTGGCTCGTTCTACGCCTTCATCTTGAGCCGCTCCGAGAAAGTGAGACTCACGGTAGTAGCACGGTCGAACTATGAGGCGGTCAAGGCCCACGGCCTTTCTATCAGCAGCCAGAACCATGGAGATCATATAGTGCGCCCCTTCAAAGGTAGGTTCAGACAGCAAACACTTAGAGCACGATCCTCTGCATCTGCCGCCCAAGGAAGGTGCTTATTCTAGTATCTATCTAGTCGTGAAGACTGTGGCCGAGGCTCAATCAACTTTCGACTACATCGTCTGCGCACACAAGGCGATCAACCCCGCGGCTGCTCCGCCACAGATTGCACCCGGCGTGGACGAGTCGAAGACTACTATCGTCATAATCCAGAACGGCGTCGGCAACGAAGAGCCCTTCCGGAAGCACTTTCCCAGCGCGACGATATTGTCCTGTGTGGTACGTACAGCCCCCTAATCATGGTGTATATGTACATATACATCCCATGCACATCTTGACACAAGGCTAGAAGGAGCTGACATGTGTTTCTTAGACATGGGTAGGAGCTGGCCAACCCGAGCCAGGTATCATCAAGCACACGAAGTCCGAGGACATGCAGATGGGGCTGTTTTCGAACCCCTCGGCCGATCAAGGCCAGGAGAAGCAGCGGCTGGATGACTTCGCCTCCTTGCTGAGCCACGGCAAGACCGTGTTCCAGGTCGTGCCCAACATCCAAGTACAGCGGTGGGAGAAGGTGGTCTGGAACGCGGCGTGGAACTCACTCACGACGCTGACCATGCTGGACACGCACTCCTGGCTAACCTCCTCACCCGACGCGATGCCCCTGACGCGCCGGCTGATGACCGAGGTCATCGGCGTGGCGCAGAAGTGCGACGTGCCGATCGAATACTCGCTGATCGACAAGCTAATCGACAAAATTTTAGCCATGCCACCGATTGGCAGCAGCATGCAGGTGGATGCCAAGAACGGGAGGCCGATGGAGGTTGACGTGATCCTCGGATACCCCGTGGCGAAGGCAAAGGAACTCGGTCTCGAGATACCAACGACAGAAACACTCTATGTGGTCTTGACGGGGATGAACCACAAGTTTCTAAAGGCAGCAAACCTATAACATGTCGGCATAAATAATAGCAGTTTAGGCCTAAAACACAGTAGCTAAGTAGGTAGCTATCGATAATATCAACCAAAGCGAAAAAGGGGCCCTCCACCACAATGCAGGCCATGGCTGCTTTCCAGTGTATGTACATAGGTAGGATGACAGTCGAATAGCACTCAATTCAGCTCGGTTATTGGGAAAAGGGCTTGCGGGTGAGGCATCTCAATTTGCTCGTCATAAAGCTAGATAGGTCAAGGACGTGTTTCTCTCGACATTCCATTGGTCCATTACTATGTAAGTACGTAGTCTGATTATGTTTTATTCTGCATTACTGCATGACATCTCCCTAAGTCCCCAATAGCTATGACAGCTATTGGGCCTCTCTAAGCCGTGCGTAGTTACAGCTTGAATCCACCTCTTCACAGCTTCACCCTCCTCGACATCTCGTTTTCCGCGCGTTCGCTGTTAATCATCTCCGGGACGAGGTCGTCCAAGCTAGCCGCTCCCAACAGCGCCATGCTGGTCTCGATCTCAGCGCGGAACATGTCGATCAGGCGCGTCACGCCCGCCTCGCCGTACTCGGCCGTCAGGGCGTACAGGAACGGCCGGCCGATGCCCACGGCCGAGGCGCCCAGCGCCAGCGCCTTGAGCACGTCGGTGCCGCGGCGCACGCCGCCATCAACAAAGACCTGGAACCTGTCCCGCACCCCGCGCGCCAGCAGGTGCGGCGCGTGGCGGCGGATCTCCAGCAGCGTCAGCAGCGGCGCCTGGGCGGTATCGAGCGAGCGCCCGCCGTGGTTCGACAGCACGACGCCCTGGACGCCGCGGTCGTGGGCCAGCACGGCGTCCTCGACGGTCTGGACGCCCTTGATCACGATCGGCAGGCGCGTGATCCCGCGCAGCCAGTCGACGTCGTCCCAGGTCAGCAGAGGGTTGAGCAGGCCGCGCGAGCTGGCCTTGGCCACGCCCCCCTCGGCGGACAGCAGGTCCTCGCCCTCGGCGACCTTGACGCGGTCGTCGCGCTCGCGCCGCCCCAGCACGGGCGAGTCGACCGTCAGGAACACGGCCGCGGCGCCGAGCGCCTCGGCCCGCCGCACCAGCGCCTCCGACCGCCCCCGCTCGCGGTTCGCGTACAGCTGCAGGAACAGCGGCTGGTCCGGCCGCGCGCGCGCCCCGAACACCGCCTCGTGCGCGATCGCCGTCGGCATGCAGTACACGATGCCGGCCTTGCCCGCCGCCCGCGCCAGGATCGGCTCCGCCTCCGGGTGCGCGTACCGGCCCAGGCCCGTGGGCGAGATGTAGAAGGGCAGCGACGAAGGGTGGCCCAGGATCCGGGTGGCGGGGGAGACGGGCTCGACGCGCCGGAGCACGCGCGGCCGGAACGTGATCCGCCGGAACAGCCGCCGCGTGTCCTGCAGGCTGAGCTCGTCCTCGGCGCCGGACGAGTAGTAGGCCCAGCCGGCCGCGGTGAGGTAGCTATGGGCTACCTTCTCGAAGTCGTCCACGTTCACGATGGAGCCTAGGGGCGGCCACCTCGTGTGAGGCGGCGGCTGCTTGCCCTTCGTTGCTTCTTGCACTGTGGCCTTCTCTCTAACTAGGCTACCGGGTTTGACGCTGCCTAGACACTTTTCCGGAGCCAGGGTCTCGGCGACTAGCTCTGGGCCATGGACAGTATCGTACATGGTTGTGCCATCTCGGCCGGCACATTTCATTATGAGGTTTGCTCCTCCGGGATGCTCATCGACAAAATCTGAGCTGTGTTAGACTTCGATGCACGTGACTTTCCGCATAGCAACTATACTTCGTGTGGCGTTTGAGATGAGCGTGAGCGTACCTGATACGTTCCAGACCTTCCCATGTATCACCGTCCAGCAATCGCCTCTGGTGCTGTGTTTCGCGACATCCGCTCCGTCGATGGTCGCCATTGAGATAGCCATAAGCTGACAAACCGGTCGTCTTCGTGACCTGTCTCCTTCCAGGTGTCTATAAGCGTGAAGCTAGTCCCAACTCTACTCGC